GTGTGTGTGTGTGTGTGTGTGTGTGTGTGTGTGTGTGTGTGTGTGTGTGCAGATGCCAGTGTGTTTGTACTTCCTGAAGGGAACCTGCAACAACAGCGACTGCCCCTACAGCCACGTCTACGTGTCTCAAAAGGCCGAAGTTTGTGAAGACTTCGTCAAAGGCTACTGCCCCGAGGGAGAGAAGGTAAAAGCCACCAGGTTACAGAGGTTTTCTCACAAACATTTAAACTGTGGAGCTTTAAAGTGATGATCGCAGGAGCTGCGGGCTCTGAGTGCTGTAATGAAATCAATTTAACGTCCGCCACAAATAAATACTTAATCAGCTTAAACAGATTAGATGTTTGAGTTTATCTGGATGATATATGACTCGGCTCATTTCCAGGTCAAATTTAGWAAYTGATGTTGTTTTTTTCATGTTTTATTAAGACTTTAACATGTAAAGAATGTCATTGAGCAGAGATCTCTGTTCAGATTAAAGCCTTATTCTGACAGGATCAGTATTATCCAGGGACCACATGATATTTATAATAATTACAGATAATCTGTGTTGTTAATCGAACGTCAGTAATTTGTAAAATCAAAGTCCCCCCCACCCACAGATGATCTGCTATGTTTGACTGAACTCTGAGGTCCTGAGATACTAATCTAATGCAGGCGTCTGTGATTTGGACAGGWATGAGCTGATTTTAATAATTAAGTAGTTTTTGTTTCCTGGACACATTTTTATTAACATTTGCTGAAGAACCGAGGCTGGATTGAAGCGCACTGGAAACCTTTTATGTCCCGGGCCAACAGAACCCATATCTGAGAGCTGTCTGTGAGTTTCATCAAAATCTCAGGCTTCAGTTATCCTGAGCGAATGCACCACATAAAAAAATACATATTTATTAAATGAGGTCTCCAGATAATCTCATCCTGTGTGAATAAGGCTTAATAAACATTTTAGTGATGCATCAATACGAACATTTCAGCTGATATCCAGTATAATTACTGCTGTTATGATTGATAACTGATATTTACTGATATTACACAAACACACAGATTATTTATATTAGAGATGATATATCTGCAGTAACATCAGTATCAGTTCGATGTTAACCATTTAATCCCATTTAAACGAGGGGTACCAACAGTTTAGTCCAGGGGTGTGTTCTCCCATCAGCTTAACAATGTGTGCCACATGAGGGGTGCCCCCCCAAACAACATTAGCTTCTGGCCAGGCTACAAAATATATAAAGATCAACTTTTAGAATGTTTTTAATCACTTTTATAATTATATTTATTTAAAGAATTTTATTAACATGTTTAGAACATTAGCTGTGTTTACATGGACATAAGTAATCAGATTAAATGGCCATTTGGAATAAAATTGCGTCATGTAAACAGCCCATTCAGATTATTCTGACCCGATACAGCTCAATCCGAATGAATTTTTAATCAGAATGAGAGAGGTGGTTYATGCCGATTGATAATCTGAACAGGGTGCATGTAAACAATTAATCTGTTCATCTTATTCTGATTGTGGAAAACTGACCTGACTGCTCATGTCTACTGACTTTCATCCACTGGTTTCTGCTGTTTTGAGGAGGGAGGAGCAGAAGCACGGTTTCCAGCAGACCGACCTTTTCCTCCTTTCTCATTCAATAAAGAAGGAAGACAAACAGCCTGAAAAAATAAAATAAAATAAAWAAAAAACCTGCACATCCCCAGCAGCTGAACCAGAGAGTGCATTAACGTCTCCATTATTAAAACCTGTCGCAGGTCCATTCTGAGCTCAGAAGCTGTTTGTTTGTGTTCATCACGGAAGTAGAACTTTTTTATGTGTTTTTTTTAAGGGAAAGTTAACAACTCTGCACGTCAGTGCTTCTATTCAGAATAAAAGCCTGGTGCATGTAAACACTCGTGATCAGATTGTTTCCATGTAAATAGCTACGTTTACATGGACGTAATTAATCGGATTAAACAGCCGTTAGGAATAAAAAATGCGTCATGTAAACAGCCCGTTCGGATTATTTTGATCCGACTGAGCTCAATCCGAATGAWTTTTTAATCCGAATGAGAGGGGTGGATTATGCCGATTGATTATCGAAATGACGTTCATGTAAACACTCAATCGGATCATCTTATTGTAGAAAACTGACCTGTGTGCATGTCTGCTGACTTTCATTCACCCGGTTCTGGAGGTGGGACAGCAGCGCTCCAGCTGCGCTGCACCGCGCAGAACTTTTCCTCCACGCTCTTTTAACAAATGAAAAAGGAGGCAAACAGCCGACGTTGCTTCATAAAAAAAAACACTTATTGCTTCATCTGCAGGCTGCAGCTCAACCGAGGAGACGAGTAACAACGTCTCTACTGTTATTAAAAGCTGACACGGGTCCGTCCTGAGAGCACAGAGGAGCTTTGTTTATGTTTGTAACACGGAAGTAGAGCTGAAAGTTTACAGCACTGCGCATGTCCGGACTTTTATTCTGAATAAAACTCCGGTGCATGTAAACACTTTTCATGATCGGATTGTGTCCATGTAAACAGTACATTCGGATTATTTAATCCGAATACATTTCAATCCGATCAAAGAATGTTGCACTTGTAAACATAGCTAATGTCATAATCCCACTGAAAAACCACCTTTTGACAACAAGAACATCTCTTTAATATTCCAATATATATATATTTTTGTATTTTGAAATACTGATTAAAAGCAGATGGAGTTTTATGATTCATTGTTTTCATGTGTCAAAAGGTCAGAATAAAGGATTTGTGTCAGTTCAGACYGGGCTGTTTCCCAAGTGCAAAACCTACATTTTCACTAACACAGTGAACATGACATGAAAACATGATAAACACTGTGTGTTAGGGAGGTCTATGGAATGAAAAGCTTGCATTTATTCAGCAGGGAAAGATTTGGGATTGAATGAYAGAAGTTATTGTGTGGCACAGAAGTTTGTATAAAAACAGCAAAATAAAAGTTGTTCTTCCTTCAGGAAGTTTTACCAGGTGTAACCGTCTGTCTGCTCTGGACCCATGGATATTTAAAGACCTTAAAGAGTGGTCCAGTCGTGGTGTGGTAGTAGTGCTCCAGTCGTGGTGTGGTAGTAGTGCTCCAGTCGTGGTGTGGTAGTAGTGCTCCAGTCGTGGTGTGGTAGTAGTGCTCCAGTCGTGGTG